TGGAAAGGTCCTGCACCATGTGGCTGCGGGCAGGGCTTTGCCTGGTGCTTCCTGCTGAGGTGACAGTGACCATCGGTGGTCACCAGAGTCTGCTGCATGGACAGCTCGTTCAGAACCGTGGATGATCATCTCCACCCAGCGTTGGACCTGCCATCCCAGGAAGAGCCACAGCATCAAGCCTTGCCAAGGCTGATCTCTGCCCAGTGTTGGACCCACCAGCGGCACCAACCCTTGGCCACAGCCTCAACCTTGGACTGTGGCATCACCTTCTGGCCTGGGATGGACATGGCATGGAAAGCCCAGCAGAGCTGCTCTATCCCTGCAACACCCCAGCCAAGGGCAGGTGATGCTGCTCCAAAAGAGGGACCTGAGGCAGGAGGACACTCTCGATGGGCTGGAGGGGAGCCTGGACCACGGCCCGTCCCTTCCAACCTGCTGCAGGATGAGCGCTGTCAGGAGGTTTTGGTTCCCCATGCATCTTCTCCATGTTGGGTCACGTCTCCACACCTGAGTAACAGGAAGGCTTCTGTCCCACCAGAAGGTTTCAGCAGGTGGGCAAGTACCATCTCTTCCCTTCAGTGCCCAGGAGCTGGGCCTGGTGCTTTGGGCAGGGAGGGACCTCAGGAAGCATTAAATAGCTGATGGATGTGTCATGGCAGCAGCTGATCTGTGGCGGTGAGTCACGGCCAGCGTGCCAGCACTCCGGCATGCAGGATGGCAGCACAGGGCCACTCCTCCCTCACCACTTGCTCTTTACTCATGTATTGGGTTTTGTTTTCTTTTTTACTTGTGTGTCTGCATGCAGCTGGGATGATCGTCCTCCCTGGCGTTGGTCAGGAGAGGAGCGAGAGGGTCAGGTTCAAAGCAGGAATGAAATGACCGAGAGCACCCCAGCATCTGCCTGGAGCGCATCCAAAGGGACGCAGAGCTGCTGGTCCCTGTGGACACCTTGGTCCTCCTTGGATGGTGGGCTCATCACAGCCTGCTCTCAAGTACAAATACATCTTTATTTATTTATTATGAGCCTTTATAACTCTATGCCCAGCCCAAACCCTGACCCGAAAAGTTAGTCTGCTGGCTTTTTGCAGTTTTAATTAGGCTTGCTGGGAAGCTCTCCCTGTGCCACTGCTCTCCTGCCTGCCCAGCCCCATGCCTGGCTCTCTGCCAGGGGGTGGATGTAGCAAGGGAGGCAAGCAAACCCCCAAAAATGGGTGAAACCTCAGCACTGGTGGGATGCTTGGCTCAAAACCTTCATGCTCATCCCAGATGGTGCTTGTTGGAAGCTCTGATAGAGGCGTTTGGGTGCAGCTGGCCTTGCTGTTGGGTGCAAGATTGTTGTTCTTTTTCTAACAGGCTTTTTTTTTTTTTTTCTTGTGTGTGGCAAAACATGGGAAAGAGGCACTTGCAAAGTGTTTGTAATCCTTGGCTGGAAGGTGCTGTCTCAGCTTCTGAGAGTCCCTGTGGGGGATGTGGCGGGGGGTCCCTGCAAATCAGTGGCAGTCCTTGCTTCTGTAAGGAGGGTGACTGGCCAGTTTTCTTGGCTGGCCGTGTATTATTTCAGGTGCAGGGAGATCACCAAACTCTTGTGAGTCCTGGCAGCCATCAGGATGGCGGTTTTCAGGAGCTACACAAAACGTGCATCCTCCCGCACATGCAGAAATGCTCCTTCATCTGCTCTTCCTTTAGCCCAACAGCTTTGGGGGGGCTGGGAGATGGCAGTGCCAGGAAACAAAATAAAGTGCAAGATCTAAGATTGTTATTTTTTTTTAATTTTTTTTTTAGTGTCAGTATTTGAAATTCCAACTCCCAGTTAGGAAATTTGTTGAAGTCGTAGTATGAATCATCCCTACCCTCAATTTTAGGACCCATCGTGCTGGGAAGGGAGCAGAAAATTAGTCACTTTGTTAATCTGCTTCCAATAAAAATGATTTAGAAATCCATAGCAGGGGAGGGGAGAAATAAGAATAAAATGAGAGTGACTTTTGGGAGTGACCGTCATCCATCCTGGTGCCCGCAGCCACCTGCTCACTTCCCTGGGCTGTTTTCAGGGCAGCCGGCAGGGCCTGGCAGCTGCCTGCACTTCTGGTTCATGATCAAAGTGACCTCCTAGGGCAAATACACACAGAGGCAGCTGGAAACCGGCTTCCTGCTGAGAAGTGCTTCTTCCCCAAGAAAAGTGATTCTCACCCCCCAAAAAAAAGCCCTTTTCGCTACCTGGTGGTGTAACAAAGGCACCCAATAATTAAAGCAGGCAGCAAAGCTGGGGGGGTGTCGTATTTGCGAGCAGAGCAATGAGATGTCCCCACAGCTGCTGATTTTTTAATGAGTGATGGTAAAGAGCTGGGGGGGCTACAGCAGAGGTGATGCTGGGGGCGAGGTGGAAGTTTTGGGGTTTATTGTCTGGTGGCTTTTAGGGTGCTTTGTTGGTTTTTTTTGAACCAGGGTGATGCTGGTGCAGTGGGATATTGGGACGAGACGCTGCGTGCAGGTTGTGATGTCCCCCCACCCCAAGCAGGGACTGGGGAGTACAAGGAGCATCACTGGTTCCCCCCAGATGAGGATGAGCTGCCTTCATCCCGGCAGCTCTGCCGTGAGCCCGGGGCTTTGGGGGAAGAGGGGCAGCCAGGCTGGTTTTGGGTGGGCTGGGGCAGCTGATCCTGCCCTGGGAAGGGGCGAGGAGGGAGCAGCCCCAAGCCCTATTTACCACCCCCTTGCAAGGGACAGATAACACCCTATATCCAGCAGTGAGCTGGGGCTGGTGACCCCCAAAAACCCCAGGGGTTGCGGCAAGCAATCAGCTAATGGGGACCCCCTGCGCTTGCAAGGATTTAAGGAAATAATAATAAAAACAATTGGATTTTGGGGTGCTGGGGGATGCGGCAGGGAGAGATGCAGGGGGAAGGGATGTGTGGGGGGGAGGGATGCGCCAGCTGCTTTTTGGGGAGGTGGTCCCCTGTATCGGAAGAAAAGCTGGCTGCTGCCACTCCCAGCTTTTTGGTGGTAGTGTGCCGCGCGCTGGCTGCTGGTAAATGATTGCTGGGGCGGCTGGCCGAGGCGGGGCTGGAGGTTGGTGCCAGGTTTGAACCCAAACAGGTGCCTTGGACTGGCATGCCGGCGGCCATCCCGCTCCCACGCTCGGCAGCGTTCGGCAACCACTGGATTTTTTGGGCAAGGTGAGGCTGTGCGACGCGACTCACCCAGCTGGGTAATTTTTTCCTATTTATTTTTAAGCTCCTGGCCTCCCCATGGGGTCAGGGCAGGGGAAGAAGGGTTCAATGCTAGCCAGGTCCCTGGCCAGGGTGGGTGCGATGCTCCCCGGGATGCATTGCCACCCCAAATTTGGTATTAGGGTGCCACGGCAGGGTTAGGGACGGTGGCTTCGGGGTGAGCTGGGTGGTGCCACGGTAGCACCTGGACTTTGCTCCGTACCGGGGGCCGGTTGCAGCCTTGAATGCACAGGGTGGGGGGAAGTGGTGCCAAAACCCAGCTTTGAAATGAAATTGGGCTAAACCTTGCAAATTTTAGTGGTTTTGGCTCACAGGGAGGTCGGCCGAGCCCAAGGTGCCCTTCACCCCCACCGGTTTTTCCCGGCCGCCTAGCCAAGGCAAACATGAGCTCAGCGCCAAGGTATTTGTGGTGGCTGCTCCGTGCCCACATTTCAGAGGTGGGCAGGGGGGTGGCACCAATGGGACGCAGCACCCACGGGAAACGGCCTCACCAAGCCATATCTTCCCCGATTTCTCCTTGCCTTTCTCACACTGTGGCTAAAATCCCTCAACGCTGGAGGCAGGACCCTTCAAGCTCTTCCTTTGATTACTCAAGCAGGCAACAAAAAAATAAGCAAGAAGTGGTGTTTAACCTGAGGTTGAGCTTTCTCACAGCCTGGCTGCAAACTTGGGAGGGCTGGAGCTCAGGGGTGGAGAGGCCACGACCAGCTGGTTTAGGTTGGGAAAGTGGTTTGGGACCCTCTGGACAGAGAGCCTGGAAACTTCCCATACATGTTCCTTCACCCAGGGCTTTCAGACAAGCCTGATGCTGGAAAAAACAGTGTTATAGGGGAAAAAAGACATATATTTGTTTGCGCGGTGTTTGAAAACACCATAAGCTCAAATATTTGAGTTGTTTACAGCTTGTGCTTAATTTTTTTTTTTTTCTTCTCCTTTTTTTTAAGGCTGTCACAGTTGTTGAGCTGCTGGAAGAGGCAGGAGTTGTGTGCACCCAGGCGAATGGGTGTTATTTTAACACAGGAGAAGTAACCACTGGGTGGGAGTCGGGCTGGGCCCTGGTGTTGTACAAAGCATCCCCCAGGAGCCCGCGCTTCGCCGCGGGCATTCGTGCCTGGCTCCCCTTCCCAAACCCCACCTTTGGTCACATTTTTGTGCAGAAAGAGGCTATATTTTAATTTCTTAATCCCCCTCTGATAAATTGAGATGGAGGTAAATAGATTAAAATGTGCATTATCTGCACCTTCTCTCAATATCCAGTTGCAAGGGTGGGCAGCCGGCAGTTTCTCTACCTTTTCCAATATTGTTTAGAAAATCCCCTGGTGCCGCACTGCCAAATTGTCAGAGAAATCGCAGTGAAAGTCCAGCAAACGCATTAAAAGTCTGCACTCGCAGCAGAAATAACTTGGGCATCGTCTTCTGGCCACCATGTAGGCGCACAAACCCCATCATTTCCACCATGGGAAGATTTGGACCTGCTGCCCAGGCATGAGCAAAAAAAAAAACAAACACGTTGGGGGGTTTTGTGTGTTGGTTTTTGGTTTGGTTTTTTTTGTAGATGAACGTAGTGTTTTAATAATATCAACAAAAATGCAATCCATGCACAGGGAGAGCTGCAGAGATGGATGGGGGGCAGCAGCGAGCAATTGCTTGGTCTAGGATACACCTTACGGGATGCTGACATTAAAGATGATTTAATGATGAGGCTCTCAAAGGCTCTCATGTTCCTCGTTAGCGGTTTGGGATGGAAACCTGGTTTCTTTTCTCCCTGCAGGCAGCCCATCCTGCGATGACCCAGCACGCCTGAGGCCCAGCAGCTGTGGGGATGGAGCTGAAGGTCTGGGTGGACGGGATCCAGAGGGTCGTCTGCGGTGTCTCGGAGCAAACCACCTGCCAAGAAGTGGTCATCGCCTTGGCACGGGCCATCGGTGAGCCATCTCCATCTGCTGGGGAGCTGCCCCTTTGCAGGTGGAGGCATCTGCCGAGGGGACGACCCATCTGCAGGTGCTTCCTTGGAAGAGGAGACCTTGGGTGGGTAGGGTCCTGCTCTGGGGTGGTGGGGACGTCACCAGCTGCTGGCCATGGGGCAGCAGCCTTGGTGCACAGCTGCTGGCTATGGCTTTCCCCATCTGAAGTGCTCACCTCCTCCCGGCAGGTCAGACAGGCCGCTACGTGCTGGTGCAGAAGCTGCGGGAGAAGGAGCGGCAGCTGCTGCCACTGGAATGCCCATTGGAGTCCCTGGCCAAGTGCGGGCAGTATGCCAACGACGTGCAGTTCGTCCTGCGGCGGACGGGCCCCAGCGTGGCCGAGCGGCCCTCCTCCGAGGGCACTCCCCAAGCCCCCGAGAGGACGTTCATCCGGGCCAGCTTGCCCATCAAGCCCAGGCCCCCTGGCACAGATGCACCCCGTTCGCGGGAGCCGAAAAAATCCATGACCTTCAACCTGGGTCCTACGGGCCCTGGCGACCCATTCGCTGTGAGCCGCTGGAGGCAGCAAGCGCGGGAAGGGATGGACTTGGAGGGTGGTGGGGTTGTCCAGCTCTCCAAGGAGGAGCTGTTTAGGAGGGTGCTGTGGCAGCAGGAGCAGCTGCATTCCTTGGAGGCCCACGGGGACACCCTGGAGACGGACCTACGGCTCTGGGAGCGTGGCCGGCTCGCCGACCAGGAGGATGAGATCCTCTACCTGGAGCACCTGGTCCGGAGGAATGAGACAGAGCTGGGCGAGGAGGAGTTTTGGCAGAGCGAGCTCCGGCTGGAGAAGGAGTGTGAGCGGGAGCGGCAGGAGCGGGTTAGGAGCTTGCGGGCCAGCCTGGAAGAGTACACCCAGAGGATTTATGAGCTGAGCGCCCGGACCGAAGCCCTGCAGGAGGAGATCCAGTGGGAGATGGCTGAAAGGGCCAAGAGAGGGAAGGAGACCCCTGCGCCCAGCCCCACAGAGCTGGAGGACATGGCCGCCAAGATGAAAAGGGACCTGGAGGCCAAGGTCAAGCAAGGCACCCAGCTGGAGAGCAACCTGGCCAGCGTGGAGAAGGCCCTGGAGGAAGCTGAAAGGAACCTGCAGGTAGATAGGACTGGGTTGCGCAGCCCCATGGGGTGGCGGGACCTTCAGGAGGGGATGGGACCAGCTTTCCGGCGGCATGGGGCTGATGGGTTGAGTGGGGTTGGTCCTGGCCCACCTGGCCGGTGAGCGTGGGGTGGGGTGCACAGAGGTGGCTCAGCAGTGGTGACCGCTGTTCGGGGGGACACCACCGCTCTTGCCCAGCTGGCATAGCGTTCCACATCCATCGCTCTGCATACAAGCTGCATCTGGGCTGGGGTTCCTGCTGGCTGCTGCATGGGGAGCACAGCATCACCCCACTCCGGCATGGACGATGGTGCTGGAGCAAATGGTCCATGTGTGGGGTCAGTGGTGTTGGCACAAGGGTCAATGTCATCTTGGATAAAGGAGTCACAGAGTGGGATAGCGTAGGGCCCTGTGGTGCCTGTGCATGAAGCCTTTTGACCATGCAAGCTGTGTGGGGGCTTGGGCTCATCACGGGGGCTGCACAGTGCGGGGCTGAGCCATGATGCCCCCCCGGCTCGCCTGTCCTGGCTCCCCCTGGCATCAGGGGGTCCAGGCACTGTGTGTCACCTGTCCTCCGCCCACCGGGTCCCCTTTGGTGGAGCAAAAGGGAGAAGCTTTTGCCCAGCCAGGCAGTGGTAGCCACCCTTCCCCAGGGTGGCCATGCTTCCAGCATCTCTTCTTGAGCATCTCGTTTGCATCTGGCATCAACCAGCACCACGGCGGCCGCCGTTTGATGGCTGCTCGCACCCTCTTGTGGAGATGCAGTGAAGCAGGGCTGTTCCCAAAACACCACCTTCCTCGTCCCCTCTGCCTGGGCACCCTGCACCCTGCAGTACCCCCGAGGTCCCCTCCACCAGCTCCAGTAGGGTGAGCCCCAATTGGGGGAGCAGCCCCGGGGGGTGTATGCCAGCTGTTTTTGGGGCATGGGGGGGGACATGCAGCTCATCCTGTCCCCCTCCTCGGTGTATGTTTTGCAGGCCCAGACCCAAGAGCTGGAGGAGTTAAATAAGGAGCTGAGGCAGTGTAATTTGCAGCAGTTTATTCAGCAGACGGGGGCCACGGTGACCATCCTGCAGGCCAGGTCCGAGGAGGATGCCCAGCCGGAGCCGAGCCCGCGTGAGCTGCCAGCCTGCCGGAGAAACGGAGGTCAGCATGCTGCTGCCGGCTCGGCCGGCGGGGCTGCTCCGCGGGACCCCTGTCTCCTCCCTGCCTCCCCCTCCAAGGGGGTCGGCCCCAAAGCCTGGCCAGTTCTGCCCTGGGTGCTGAGATTAGGCAGCAGGGACGGGATTTTGGTGCTGGCATGGCAGTCACTCACCACCCGGGGGTCTTTCTGAGGCTTGCCAATTCTGGGGCTCCTTATTCCACCCCATTGAAGCGTCGGGGCTGCTCATAGCCATGGTCAGGGGTTGGATGCTGCATTGCTGCTTTTGGGGCCAGGGCGGCCGCAGGGAGCTTTCCTTCGCAGTATCACTGCATGCCACCATGGCGGTGGTGGCAAAAAGCAGGTGGCCGAGGGCCAGCATCAGCCCCTGGGGGCTGTGGGCTGGTGGGGACGGGCTCTGGCCACCGATGACCTCTTTGTGTCTGGCGAGGGAAGGGTGAGCATGGTGCCCAGGGCCACGTCTGCATCATCGCAGGGATGAGAGGAGGCGGTGGGGGGCTTTCATGGAAGGAGATGGGGAAAATGGGGACCCAGCCGTTTCTCCTCCAGAGCACCTGGAGAGGGTGATGTGGCTGCCCCACGGCACTGCAGCGGCCATGCCCGGTAAGCATGGGAGGAGGTACAAGTGCTGCCTGAGCCAGGTGTTTTTCCCCATCCCGTAGGTTTTCCTCCCACCGCCAGTGCCGACTCACCTCCCCGGGCCAGCACCAAGCAGCTCCTCAGCCATCCCAAGACCCTGCCGGAGCCCCTGGTGTCCAGCCTGAACCCCGAAGGTGTGTATGTCCTCATGGGCTCCCAGGAGCGCGAGCTGGTCTGGGGAGGATGTGTGGGAAGCAGGAAGAGGCTTTTGCTGCCCAAAACAGGCTGCAGAGAGTGAGCGTGTGCTGGGAGCGGGAGGCCGGAGCTATTTATAGATGCCATTAGGAAGAGCAAAGCTTACACCCCGGCAGCCTCTGCTCTGCTGCCAGGGGCTCCACACACTGGCCGTCCGGCTCTTTGCCCTGCCAGGAGCTGTGGAGGATGCTCCTCATCCCCTCTCCTGCTATCCTGCATCCCCCCGGGGCTAAGACCTTGCTAGGGTTAAGACGGGGAGGATTTGGCTCCCATCTTTTACGGGAGTCACTTCTGCTCCATCCTGGGGACCTGTTCACCCCAAAACCCTTTCCACCTCCTGTGACCTTTTTTCCCACCTTGCACTACATTTTTGGGCGCAGCAAAAGCAAGCTGTGATGTCCCTGCCTGCCGTGGCGATGCTGCCTGCATCCCGGCATCCCATTCCTACCCACGCCACCATCCCCTCAGCAAAACCCTTCTGCCATCCTCCTCACGGCCCGAAACCTCCATCCCCATCTCACCAGATGCTGCGGCATCTGCATGTCCATCTCCCAGTCTGGGCTTTGCGCTCGGGTATGTCCCATTTTCCGTTCCCCTTTTTGCAAGCGCTCGTCCACCATGATGGGGTTGCTCAGGTTGTTTTTGTCTTGTCTTACAGTCGTATCAACCAGGCAGAGCATCTGGAGGTAGAAGGGCCTGGCCAGCGAAGGATCAATTTGCCTTGCAAGTGTAACTGTATAAATAAACCATATTATATATATATAATTATTTTTTTTTTTTACTGCTTTATATCATGAATGGATGTGGACGGCCAGAGTATTTTTACAGACTGTAAAATAAAACCAGAGACTGATGACACAAAGCAATCCTCTTCCCCTGCGGATGGAAGTGACCCCTTCTTCTATTTTTTTGAAGTGCTTTCTATATTCAACAGAAAACAGAGGCACTCCCATTCCACATAGCCTCCTCAGAAGACCCATCCTGCATTCGGAAAAGTCCTTGCTCCTTTGACTAGGGGAGCGAAGCTGAGGTGGAGACTTGCCTGGAGACTCACCTGGATGGAGCAAGTTAATGGGTTTTACAGCATCTCGCAGCAGCAAGTGGGGCCGTGACAAACAGCCTCTTCTCTGGCTGCAGGGAAGGCACAAGAGCAGCTTTAAGACAAATTTCTGCCCCCCCTCTTTTTTTATTATTGTAAGAAATCTGTAGTAGAAACCCCCTTTCCACAGTGCAACAGACCAGGCTTCAAGGGAGCAGGGAACACACAGCAGGGGCTTGTTTTTCTTAAATCCACTTAATTCTTCAACTTGTTTTTAAAGTAAAAAAAAATCACAGAATGAGCCCTTCCCCAGTGGTGGCTCAGGTGGGGAGCAGGACTGAAATGCTCTTGGTGACATTTCACTGATTTGTTTTGACGTTTTTTTACTTGATGGCCAGTAGTTACTCTCAGTTTTTGTTCATCTGTCCCAGTGGGTCACCTTGTATTTTAATTGCGAAACCAAAGCAGTTTGGGGAGGGGATGGGTTTGTCCAGGAGGTCCTCGAGCCTGTGTTCAATGCGTCGTATGCAAAAAATGTGACTCGGGCACAGTGTTCGCCATAAAACCCCACTTTCCCCATACAAATGTAACCCTGTGTGCCACAGTTTCAATTTTCAATAAATCTTTGGGAAAGGATTTGAGCAAAGTGAGCGTGAGCGTGCTGTTGTGGCCCAGGGCAAGCCGTCCCCACCGGCTCCTGGTCCAGTGCCCAACAGGCACATCCAAGTGGTTTGCGTACCCCGCAGCTGCCTCTTTCCTTTCCAAGCCATCTCTTTCCATTTGCCAAATTAAAGCTGTAAGTATTTTATGACCAAATGTATCTTACGCACATGCTGCTTTATTTTGTTTTGTTTTTTTCTTTTTTTTAAATCGCAAAGTGCTTTACAACCAGCGGATGAAACTGGTTTCCGGTGAGAGGGCGGCCATCTCTGGGATGAAACATGGCAGCGTTTTAATAATGCACAGCAGCACCTCGAAGCATTTTAGGACAGGAGGCAAAGGGGATGGTGCTCGGCTGCAGGCAGGAGCAGGTAAGGGGGGAACCTCCCATTCACCTTCAAGCCCCTCTGTCTGCACCTGGATAATCACAAGCGAGAACGTCAGCTCTCGCTCTCCATCGGCATCTCCCGAGACTCTGTTGGGCTCTGGTCCCTGGGGATGTGCCCCTCTCAAAGTCGATTTTTGAGGTGCCACTGCAGCTCAGCAGGTTGGTCAAGTGGTAACAGAGGAAAGTTTGCTTCGTTGGGAGAGCGCTGACGCAGCTGTGTCTCCGGATACGACTGGAGAGCTGCCACAGCAGGGAGATGCAATTCGAAGTTGTCTTTTTTGATTCTGGGAGTGGGAGGGGTGTGGGTTTGGGGGTTGTTTTGTTTTTTCGGTTGTCCCCTCTGCAAACTGCATATCTTGGGGAAAATGAGTTAAAAATACATTTGCTCCATGCAGCCGCATTAAGGAGTTTCTCCTCTGCTTGCTTGCTTTTTGGGCTTCTTGTGCTCCTTTTCTGGACTCCCTTGCTTTTAAAATGAGACTCCACCTTGCTAAGAAGAGAAGCAGAGGGTGGTGGAGGTTGTAAAGAGTGTTTCAGTGCTGCTTGGGGGGAAAAACACACCCAAAAAACATGTTCAGAAAACTCACTTGCCTTGAATATGCCCAGATTTTGGGATGTTACGTGAAGTCATCTGCGTGCCCTGAAAAACTGACTTCCGCTGGTTAAAAACTGGATCTTTCATTTTTGGAAGCTACATTTGTAGCTTTGCCTTCTGCAAAATAAATGGGTATAAAGAGAAAAGGGTCATTGCTTACAGCACCTCCCACTGGGAAAAACAGGGTAGAAAATGAATTTGAATCTCTGATTTTGCATGGAATTTTTTGCCCTGTGCTTCTGCTTATATATTATTTGATTATTATTTTTGTGGGTTATTTCTGTTCAGCTGTGATCTGGCAGGCCAAACCAGCACCACTCTTTCTTGGGAAAAAAAATAAGGTTTTAAAAAATGTATGTCACAGCAGATTTTGACCCTGCAGCAGACGCCCCTTGGCTGGGATGCAGGATTTGGAACGGCTGCATGGGATGGGGGACAGTGTAACTTGGCCATGTCCCCCACTGAGGTCTGAGAATCAGGTGTGGGGTTAGGGAGAACACCATGGTCGGGGGCCAACACTGTTTTTTCAGCTCAAGGCTGTGGCATTTTGCAGATTTTTTTTTTTTCATTTTTGTGTCCTACAAACCATCACCCAGCTGCTGCAAAGGCAGCAGTGTTTCCTAAGGTAATAAATTACTTTGATTAACGCCTCTCCCCCTGCCATGGTGCACAGTGCAGCGGGGGGAGAGGCATTAATCAAACTCATTTATTACCTTGGGAAACTCCCCACCCGCAGGTGACCTATATTCCTCCGGGCGTGGGGGGGGGCATGCAATGGCACAGTGAGCATGCAGGTCCCCATGCGTTATTTAACCGAGCGAGGCTCGATACCCACTCTGGCTCCCCCGCCTTTCCGCTTTTATCCGCTCTAAAGGCTGTGTCAATAATACATTTCTGCCATTGAATATTTTATTGATGGTTTGACTTTTTTGCTGCTCACAATTCCCATTTCAAGGCTGCATGATTGTTCCTAATTAAAATTTTATGCCCTGGGAGAAGCCTTCTTGCTACAGTGGAGATGATGCTGTCCTTTTCTAGGCCACTACAGAGCGGTAGGAAGGAATTACTCATTGTTATGAGATTAAATCAAAGCAAATAAATTATTGTTTTTTCCCTTAAAAAACAAACCAAAAGCCCAGCGTACGGCGTGTACTGGAGAAGGAACAACTGGCTGGCAGGCAAGGCAGGGATCCAAGCATACCGGGTGGCTCAAGGATGCTGTGCCTGGGTGAGCGGGGAGTTGTGTCCCCCCGTCCCTCAGGCGCTGCAGGGCAGCTTCTTCCTTTCCCGCAGCAGGCAGGAATGGGCTTCAGGGCCTCTCCCTCTTCAGATGCTTCTCACTGCCAGCTCCAGTGCCACCCAAAAATGATGAAGCAGAGGATATACCTGTTTTTCACTAGTGAACAGTCCCAGCATTTTTTTTTCTTTCTAAATAAAATCAATCTGCAGGCTCTGTCAGCACAAGGCACCATTCAGGAGAGTAATTCAGCTGCCTCCAGCCTCCCTGGGGCTCCTCTCCTCTCTGCACTATCTGGGGTTTTTTGTTGTTTGGGTTTTTTTTTTTAATATTGCATAAGAAAAATGGCTCCCAGCTCCTCACCCATCTACCCTGGACTGTGTCAGCTTGTTAAGCCAGGCATCCTCTGCAGATGGTCGTCAGGGCACAAGTACTGCCCCAGGCTAGTACAGTTTCTCAAGGACAGCACAGCTGCAGACACTTGAAACACCTCCAATTCACAGTTGTGCATTTGTACAAGTTCCTTTAGGTTTGGGTTCCCCCCCCTCCCCCCAAATTTCATCTAGAGTTCTAGAAGCATTTCTGCTGCCTCCCAGCCCCTAGATTTGGCAAGCAGCTTTTAAAGCACATGCTTCAGCACGAGTTACATAAGGAAAGGTGTGAATGACTGGAGGAGAAAATGCCTGTTGGTTTTGCTCCCCAAGTGGTGTACAGATGCTCTGCTGCTTGCTCCTGGACACGCAGTTCCTACAAGGGTAGTTCACTGCAGGTGGACACAAGGAAGCTATCTGAGCTGGCATGCATGTCCGTGCAGGGAATGTTGTCTGCTCTCCCTATGATGGTTTTCCTTTCTCTGTCTCAGGGTAAAGACTGAGTGCATTCTACCTTGCCCTGGGAAAAAAAATATCATAAAGCACTAGAGGAGGCTGGGAAATTTTCTTGTTTATGGATGAGCAAGTTTCTCTCCCAATGGAATCTCCTGCCAGCAGAAGTCTTTTTTTTTTTTAGGATGTATTATATAAGTCCCTGTTTGCATTTAACTAACTGACTCCTCTTAAACAATTTATGTACTCCTTCTATTCCTCACAGACCAGCTTGCTCCTTCGGCAAGGCTCCCCACGTAGGACCTGCCACTGGCACATCTTATAGACAAAACACGATAGGCACTTCCTAGCATGGTGCTTCAAGCGTTATGCCTGCTCGCTTCTCTCTGCGAAGCACTGAAACGAGAACAAAACCTTTGAGGAGCACAGAGAGTCCCTTCAGCTTAATGGGCCTGACATTCAACATCTCCTCCTCCTCCTGTAAGGCACACCCCTGCCTCTCCCCAAAAATCTTACAGCATCAGTTCTGAGCAAAAGCTTTTAGCACCCAACTACTTGTTACCAGGCTAAGTATCACCTTATGAATTTGTTTATTAGCTACTGAAAAACATGAAATTAATGGACATCTTAGCCCTGGTGTATTTTCTCATTGCTCAGGAGCACTCTGGGGCTCTTGGGCTAGGACAGGGGTGAGGGCACCGATGCTGGGGTTTCTGCTTGAGGGACAACCAGGTCGTACCCTTCTACTCTCCTTTTCAAGCCACCTTCACGGGCTACAGAGGCAAAATAAGAGATGGGAGGCACAGGGCATGCAATGCACATTACACATGTCACTGAGAAGGCACAGCCTTCCTCTACAGCTGGTCTGGCACCTGGATTACAGTAATAAGCACCCAAACACTGATTTTGCACTATTTATTGAAGACTTCAGGTGACAGCACAGCAGG